TAAAACCTTCGGATTGCTGGCCTAAAAAGATGCCTGCTGAGTGCAATATATAGAGGAAACGCATCTATGCTTGCAATCTGGGTGTTGTGCTTGTTGACTGTGACTATGAGGCAATCAATGCCAGTGAAGCGATGAGGCTTCGTGTTTTAACCTGAAAAGTGACCTGTGTGGTCCAATGTTACATGCACAATTGGTGAATCTGGAGAGTTTCACGCTGAATGCTTCACAGCACCCACGCATTGGGGATGGCGTAGGTGCAATGTACAGCCTCCAGAGGATGCAGTGCATGGCAGTGTATCCAGAAGGGCTGGATTTGGCCAAAAAGCACCTCCATATCTTGAATCCACGCGGAAAGCTTCACCCGTTCGTGGACAGCGAAACGACCGTTACGTTACGGGAAGTTCCCCAGCTCCGAGGCCCGGCTGGGATTTCCAGGCGGACCACGAGGAAGATGCGGAAGACTTAAACCTGCCCCATTTCCCTTCCACGAGGCAGGGAGCTTAGCGCTGTTGGCGTTTCTATTTCTATTCTTTTTTTGTCCACAACAAGTGCATAACAAAGGACCTAGCGTTTGGGCTAGCTGAGTTTGTTTTCTTGCTTTAAGCAAGGCAGAGAGGTGTCAGGCCAACAGTATGTCTTTCACCAGACCTTACCTTTGTGAGTAGGGCATCAAGAAATGACCAATACAAGAGTTGCGGTTACTCATCCTTGATTCTTTAAACCAGGATTTTGGCAGTGACGCACTTTTTCAGCCAATTGCCCTAGAGTCAAGTTTCTTCTATTTTGTGATCTTTGTCCAGCTGAAATGATATACAGATGTTCAGTCACGATGTTATGACTGCAAGGACTAATTTGCCAAGGACCAGGATAGAGGCCGCAATGAGCAAGTGACACTTGACAGTTTGGTAATGGATGCTTGCAGTTGTTCTTTGACAAGACACTCCTTCTTAAGATCATGAGGTTGCCAAGTTGCCGCCCTGTGACTCCAGGAGAAGCTCTTCCTGGCTGAGCTGTTTGAAGAGGGAGAGGAGTGAATTCTTTGTGCCCTGCACCAGGAGGTCTTGCCTAGGATAAAGAGATGTAAGAGGCTTGAAGTGTGGGATGGGGGTCTCCTTTTGCCATGAGATAATGAAGGAGGACTCTCGCATGGATTGAACTGGGTTCTTGTTTCCATCCAGGAGTCTTACGGACCCTACGCATGGATTGAACATCAGCTCGGCTCTCAGCAATCAATGGACAGCCTAAAGGGCTTGCAAGCTAAAATACTGTTTTAATCCGTGGTAGAAAGACTCTGACTTGAACAGCCATCCCTTGAGAAGGTCTTTACATAGGTCATTCCGAATGACTTTTTCGTCATATCGGACTCAACTCCACGGGGCCAACAAATTCAAGGCATTCGGCAGTTCGGCTCAACGAAGAAGGCTTTCCAATTTCGTGCATGAAAGACGAAGGCTGGCAAGCAGCAATGACAAGGGCCACAAGGGCCACTCAAGCACCGCCGCTCATGGCGAGGTATGCATGACCACTCGCCCTTCCCCCAAAATGACACCAGATACCACCAAACTTCCTTAGGTCATGGGAAGTGAGTACCATCAGAACACGAGGATCAACGGAGTATTTCTTGGTTCAATTGAACCGAGGATCGCCGCGGTTGAACTGAAGCAGCCGAATCACCTCTTCCTTCGCCGACATATCGCCTGAAGGTGGACCCAGTCGATCGTTGCAGCAGTCATTGTGCTGAATGCCATCCTCTTCGGCCGTAGTCTTATGATGATAGAAACGATGTAGTCTTCGGTCATTTTACGAGCCTTGCTGAGTGGAAAGTATGATGATTGGCCTTTGACAGTCAACCCTGGGGCGTTGCCTTTGAGATTCATTCCACTTCATTCCACTTAGGCTTGGAAACCGACATCCGATCCCCTGTATGGGTGCCTGCGCTAGCTTGGCGGGGAATTGTTTGACCATGAACAGAAGCAATGCTTTCCACATGAATGCGCACAGTTTTCACTCAGTCAGTCTGAGAACAAAGGGACAGTCTACCAGGGTTTACCTGCAGGGCGCTGTTCTTTCCGCAACGAGCAAAAAGACCTTCGTAGCTTTGAGCTTATTGAGCTTCGCTCTTGTCAGGTGCCAGTGGAGCATCTCATTCTCATTTTCTTCACCGGAGAGTCCAACACCCAGCTTCCCAGAGAGTCCACCGCTCGGCCACAGGAGAAAACCGCTGAACCGGTATAGCCAGGCTACATTCGGTTTAACCAAGATAACCGAGGACCTTGCAAGAGGAGTTTTTCTTTTCTTTTTTCGGAGCATCGAGCAACCATATTGAGGTATTTGCTGCTTTTTTTTTGAGAGATGCCCAACAGCACAGATTCATGCGGCAAACAGCACATATGCAGCAACTGTGCCCAAGGCAGGCTGTCCGCTTGGCCCGTGGGTTGCCCAGTGAGATGCAGAGCTACAGAGTCAGTAGAGAGGGCTACAACACATGAAGAAACACATGATTGAAACATGCTTCATTTAATTCCATCGCTTTCTCGTCTTCTCATGGGGCTTGTTGCAATTTCTTCATCCGCAGCAGTTGTGATGCTTGATGTTTCCGATAAGATTCCAAAGCTGCATCCAAAGGCTATGGGTGTTACTACTTTGGCCGCATGGTTGCACGCAATCGGAGTCAAGAGTGTGAAGAGGGGTTTCTAAAGCCTGGGATGTTCTTTGTTGCTTTAGATCCTGACCGGGGAAGCTTGCAATCGCTGCAGCTGCTATTGGGTGCCAATACTTACAAGAGCACATCAACATCTGGTAGTGAATCGATAGTTCCTGGTCCGTCCTACCCCAAATAGTTCAATCCAATCTTCTGTGTATAGGGTTTTTCTATTTTAAATTACAAAAGCCAGCGGGCTAAAGCCAGTTTCTGCGAACAAAGTAGGAGGCAGACGGGCTGGACTTCAGCCTGGAACCTAATAATGTTTTAGCTTTTTGTGGATTTTTTTTTGCAAGTTGGTGATGCAGAAAGTGCTCCCGGCATCATCAGCATCATGAAGGGGGACAGAGATTGCCTAGCATGATGTTTTAAACGTTCGAAAGTAACTTGCGATTGGATGGTGGGCTTCCTTCTCAAGCCATCAGGCCATCATAGTTGGTCTTTTCCAACCTTCCTCCATCCATCTCGAAGTATCCTTTCGTGCATCCAAAGCCGAGCAATCTCTGCCAATCTTATCCACGCTATCGGCATTAAGAACAACGCTTGTATCACTCGTAGCAACACAATTGCAGTGTGCAGCGTTACATCATCGACATCATGCGAACACAAACAAATGCAAAGGACTGGACTTCGACAGTACGCGGGTGGGTCACTTTCAAAGGCCGAGTCACTGAAGCTTTTCAGAGGGCATCGTCACGAACGGAACAAAGGGCATCGCTACGAGTCCGGAGCGATCGGACGCGAACCGAACGGGGCGCTCCTGGCATCGCTATGAGTAACAAGAAGTTAGTCGAGAAGCGTCAGTCGAGAAGTTGCATGTTCACGAGCATGGACCGGAAGGTCTGCGCCTGTGCACCGGACAGATGTTACAGCGGGAGAGGGGTGCAGGAGCGATGTTCCTTGAGTCGTTTGTGATATCCGATTCAGCCTGCACCTTTAACAATTGCCAACACTGGTCAAATGAGAGTGTTGAATGCGTCTTTTGAGTGCTCAGCGACCTGTAGCTTCTGAGAATGGTTCTGCTCTAAATGGAACATCCATCGGGATACCGGAATTGTTGAAGCATTTCTTGCATCATCAACTACAGCAAAACTTTCAATCTAGTAACAAACGGCGACAAAACACATTTTCCATTCCCATTGACGTTTTCTCTATGACATGCTTGGGCCTTGACGCCCGAAGGCAAAATTGGTTTCACAAAAATAATCAATGCAATTGACAGAAAATCGTGGTTTCACAATTCATACGTCACCAAGTTACGAATCATAGGCCCGTTGCCCTGATGTGAAACATAGAGACAATTTGGTGGGTGGTTCAGGCTCACCTCCGGTGAGCAAGTGTGGAGAACCTGCTGTTGTTAAGGTATTCTTGTTGTCAAGGTTTCTAAGACCGGAAGAACAGTTTGAATGGAGACAAATCGGACGGAGACAAGCAAGAGCAGGAAAAAAACACATGGTTGTCGATCTAAAGGTCCTAGACAGGATTGTTGATAACGATGACCCGGAACATATCAAAATCTCATTTGGCGAAAGTTTTTTCTCGAGTTGGCGAAAGTAAATCTGTTTTTTGGCGAAAGATATGGCTAAAGATGTTCTTTCTGCTGCTGTTGCGACTACTACTACTACTACTACAACTACTACAACAACAACAACAACAACAACTACTACTACTACTCCTACTCCTACACTCCTGCTGCTGCTGCTGCTACTACTACTCCTGCTGCTGCAGCTACTACTACTACTACTACTACTACTAGTACTACTACTACTACTACTACTACTACTACAACTACAACTACTACAACAACAACAACTACTACTACTCCTACTCCTACACTCCTGCTGCTGCTGCTGCTACTACTACTGCTGCTGCAGCTACTACTACTACTACTACTAGTACTAGTACTAGTACTACTACTACTACTACTACTCCTGCTCCTGCTCCTGCTTTGGCGGGGTGGCTTTGCCACAAAACTCTACCCCGCAAAAGGCGAAAGTTTGGCGAAAGTTCAGCTCAAGATTGGCGAAAGTTCACCCTGCCACATCTGACCCCCAGCCCATTATGAGAAATCTGAGTGACCGGCTACTACAGTGATTCTTGCAATTTTGATTCTTGCTGACACCCAGGAGAAACAAAAGAGACATACAGGGTGTCAACAGTTAAGTAGAAGACACATGCTGACAAGCAGTGAAGTTTTTATTTTGTATTTGCCACTAAAGAAGAAGCCATTGACGTGAACAAAATTGATATCCATCATACAACATACATGGCACACATAAATACAACATACTTCGGCGAAAGATAAAGCGCAGGAAGGCGACAGTTTGGCTAAAGTAATTTTTTGGCTAAGATGACGGATCCCGGATAAAGGAATTTAGATCAACACCCACATGTTTTAGAAATAGAAAGGAAGGGTTGATACAACACAGGACAGCTGATGGGACTCGCTTTATCTGATGATCCGAAGTTACCAGCCAACTTTGGCCCAGGTTTTTTTGGCTGATTGCGCGGTTCCCTGTCAGTCACAAAAAACCTATTCAATACAAAGAAATGTTTATGTTTTACACATCTGGATCACAAACAGCAAAATAGCGGAGACTTACAGCATTTGCATTCTTGTCTCAAATGTTAGCATTTTCATCGAGCAATCTCAAAGTCACGCCCACACAGAGTTTATGAAGTTTCTTAAAACTTTTTTCTCGGTGCACCGCTTCTTTTAGTGAGCACCAAAAAAGGTTTCTGAAGACGAGCTAGGAATGGCCTGGTCATATGGAACTTGGGGGTAAGTAAAGCCTGATGAGAATTGCAAGGTCGTGCAAGGGAGTTGTAAGGCATGTGTAAGCTGACAGGGGGTCTTAACTCATTTTTGAAAAGCCGTCGCGTAAGCATTTTCCTGCGGAGTATGATCGACGCAGAAAAGCTGCCCCGCAAGAAAGCTCTCAAAAGGGAACGTGACCCGGTGAGAGGTATCACTACTGTAGAGCCCTGTGCCGCTGTGAAGAGTTGTTTGATGCCAAGTTGGAGCCCTGCGACGTCAAGCCAATCTTCGTCCTTGTCTTGCTTTTGGTCTTTTGGTCCTGATTTCATGAAGTAATCAATGCACCATGAAATGGGTGTATTTGTTTTCTTGGGACATTTGGGAGCTTAGGGCGTGAGCTCACATGCTGGTTGTTGGGAGGCTAAACTACCTGAAGGTCAGCAAGCTTTGTCACAGAGTCAGAGGAAATCAGCAAACAGGGAAAATCTCGTTCAAACAGTGTCCGGTCCATGCTTCCTAAAGAGGCCTCTTGCAGATCACCAACTTCCCAACACAACAGCAGTCCATTTTTGTATGTATGGAGCGCTCCCTTCGATAGTGTCAGTGTCAGCTCCAAGGCTTTTGACATATCATATCAACTACACTTTTGACATGTCACCTTTTGACCTCCTATACAACCTGTATATACCTGTATCATCCTGTATCAACCTTTTCACCCAAGGCCATGATTTTAGATCTGATTCGGCTGAGGCAGCTTGGGCAATTGGTTTGATCTCTTGATCGTCATGATGGGCATCACAGACCTCTGGGCCCCAACCTCAGGGCGCTCGACACGAATTGGCGACGCTTCGTCGACCCCAGGTCATGCCTCTGATCGGTTGGCCCCGGAACTCAGCGGCAGGTGGAAAACAAGACTTGCTGGAGAATCTTCAAGTCGATTTATCAGACTTTGGGGAGGATTCGGACGGTGCATCCTGGAGACACAATGAAACAACGACACCAATTGCAAGGATATGATGGAAGGGGAAAAGACATTTCTTAACTCCGCCCACAATGCTAAGCTGTCAGGCTGGTGCTGTCGTCTGAGGTTGATAGGGCAAACCGACACCAAGAGCTCTGTGCTCCAAGCCATGCAGCTCTTGCGGCTGTAGGGGCTCCAGATGCCGACAGGGACTTCATAAAGAACAACAAACATGAGGTGAAAGTTACTTGGTTTTGCTTGTCACGTCCAGCAACTCCAGCAATTTGAAGCAATTGCAGCCATGATTTCTTCAGGTTGAGAATCACTCGTCTTATTCGCATCGCTTCAAGCTCAGAGCATTCGAGATACTCTGCGTCTTTCCTACAATTTCTGGACTTCGTGCCGGACGCCGTGTCTTGGACTGAGGTTCGAATCATTCCACCCCTTTACAGTCTGGCCGTTGGCATCGGCGAGGCCGCAAAACCCAAAACGTCGCAAGACCAAGCTGTGCTGGAAAAAACGTGGCCGTCGCCAGGCTCTACAGAGCATGTTTTGGGCCCGGGGGCCTGAAGGCGGCGGTCGCTGCGGTCGCTTTGTTGGATAACATCTACTCACATTGGATTCACTGCTGGCCTGTGCCGTTTTGTGGCTTCTATGCCTGATGTTGTGAGAACATCCACGCATGCGAGAAATGGTTGCGGTTGCTCAATATGTTGCGAGGGAGTGGGCTCATGACACGCATATGGGAGTTGACTCTAACACCAGGGTCTGGCGACTTGTGCTGTGCTTAAGGTTCTGATCTTCCTCTTCATGATGCTCTACGCTTGTGCCATCCTGACCGCCAGGCGCAGCACATGGTCAGTAGTTAGAGATCCAGGCAAAACACAAGCTTCAATCTTGCAGTGCTTCTAGCAGTTTCCTATTGAATGTTTGGTAGCCCTTTGATGATTTTGGATCAGGATAAGCCAGGAGCAAGCATTGTAGACTTTTTGACCTGATCAAGAGATGGTAGTCTCGTTCAAGATTCATATCATTATTTTGTCCATCGTCCTGTCTGCATGGTGGACCACTGATAACGCCCGGCGTTTGACACCACTCGACTGCGTCAAGTCTGCCACCTTGGATTCGTTCTTCGGCTTTGATTGGGGCTTCTTCCATGTAGCGGAACGGGCACAGGTCGTTGTTCACAGCACCACCTTGAGAAAGGACCACATCTGTGGTCCTTTATCTGAACACTTTTTGGGGGACTCTGGAGGTGTCATGCGTTCCTTCCAAACAAAAGCGGTTGTCATGGGACATGTTCTATTGACTCTAGTGACTCTAGTGCCTTTCCAATCACATCTAGGTAAACTCCTTCACCCACAACTTGGAATCTATGACTTCCGCCAGCTCACTTATTCGCTCACTCATTCGCCTCAGGTGTTTGGGAGTTTCGCCCGAAGATGAGATTGCTGAAGAAGGACTCCTACCGGGAATAACAATCTGAGATTGAAACCATAGTTCAACCAGACAGATCCTTGTTCTAGAGTTCTAGTCTAGAGTGAAGTTTTCCAATAAATCTAGGAACTAAATTGCTCAAGCCTGAGGTGTTTTGGGTCCTTGTTGCTAGCGGTCCACTTAATAGCTACTCTAGCAACTACCAGTAACCTCTCTTCTCCTCTTTTTAAAGCATATACAGTCAAGAGTCAATACATTCCTCAATCTGGCAGCATATTTATCCACAGCCTCGATGCGCGAACAGCAGTCGGACTTGCAGGATCCAAAGCCGAAGAAGTGAGGGAGACTTTGGCATGATTCTTTCTTCCGCAGTTCTTCCTGCCCCATAGTGAAGATGAAGAAGAATAAGCACAGATTCCTAAGCGTTCCATGAAGGCAGAAGTATGTACAGTAACATTTTGAAGTGCAGCAGATGTAGCACCTGCGCAAAGCAATGGTTTGAATGGATCTTTGCCTGGCAGTTGATGTTTCACGGAGTCTTGCCCAGTATGTTTGTGCTGATGGCTCAGATCTTCAGTTCGACATGTCGCACGATCACGTGTTTAAATTGGGCGTTTAGCAGCCAAGCTAGCCGTTTGTGTTGTGAGGCTCTTTGAGTCTATCACATGCTGGAGTCTTATGACGCCCTGTTCTCAGATAATTCGAGGCCGTCCAGTGATATGGACAAATGCTGTTGTGGACGAACTTGTGCCAGAGCGTTTGTACTAGTTTCAGAGAGATTGTACCATGTAGAGGAGAAGCTACTTGATGGGAGTTTAGTAGCGTCCTTGCTCCTAGTAGTACGGCCAGGAGCCCCATTCGTAGCATCCGATCGCTCCTAGCGCCCGATCGCCACAAAGGTTTGTACCACTCTTCGACGTCAGCAGTACCAGCAGGCGCGACCACACTGCCCCCTCGAGATAGCACTTGACGGAGTGAAACATGCCATATATCAAGCTGCCATCCAGTTTCATTCTTACTGAGACTTGTTTTGGAAAGGGTGGTGGCGGTGATCTTCTACATATTTGCTGTCGGGCCCTGATTCTGATGAATTTATGCTCCTCAGCGCCTTTCAATCACTCATAGAGATAGCTTCACAGCCAGAACTGGGGCCTTCTGGCAGTGATGACGGGCGTGGTGAGCGAGAAGATGATGGCGACCAAGGAGCGACAGTCGTTTTGGCAGAACTGTCGACGGTCGCCAAGACACCTCTTCAGACTCGATGCCAAGACATAGTCCAAACTGGGAGACGTCCATCTCGATGCCATCCTTGTCTTCATCCCATCCCTCTCTCTTGGGTTGATAGCCATTTCAGGGTCGTCAGGGTAATGTCACCTGCCTTCCACCCCCAAGGAGCGCCTAACCCAGTGTGGGCCCAAGTGGAAGCCGAAGCCGAAGTGAAAAGTGTGGTTACGACGCTAGTCAGCTTTTGACGTGAAGGGGGCAAGAAAGACTAGTGAGTAGTGTACGGCACTCTAGAATGGGTCATGCCTGGTCATGTCATGACTTTAATGTGTTTGGATATCCTTTGGAGTTCAAACAGGTTCTGCAGCAGTGTTAGATCATCAGTATAACACGCAACACACAGGGACCAAACTCAGCGACACAGCCGACTATAGAACAAATTTGCCGATTTTTGCAGATTTCAACAGGGTTTCGTGAGTCTGTGGGTTTCAAGATCTTTAAGAAAGCGGCCAACCGATTGCCGTGCCGATCCTGTTTGGTTTGCCGTGTCTCAGGGAAACCGATGATGGTCCAAAGCATGAACCTGGAAGTGCGAGCATGGCTCACTTGGAGATGGCGCGCCCCCTCCGGTGCCATGCACAATGTTCCGTCAGACCAGTCGAGTGTTTTTGGTCCCAGACCGTCGAAAGAGGTCCCAGTCGACTTGCTTCGTTTGTGACACGGCTGGCCCTCTTTCTACGGCTGGGATGTTCGAAGCTGCCACCCACAACCAGCTGTTTAGCACTGTTTGGAGTTTCTCAGTTGTCTCGATGTATTATCTTGAACCCAGTCGGCCCGATCCAGGACGACCACCTAAGCAAGTCAAGTACTAGCAATTCATCCACTCCAATTCACTATGGCCCAACAGCTCAGTCTATTCGTGCTCTTTGCTTCGGCCCACGCAAACTCCCATTGCCGAAAGCTGTCGGATTTTAAGCTTGAGCAATGCAATGCTTGATGGATCTTGATGGGTGGCACTTCAAGGGTAAATGATGTAAATGCACACTTTGCAAACTCATGAAAGAAGTTACATAAATTAGATCTTCTGAACAAGAAAGTGACATTTGTTCTTGGTGTTGCCGAACGTCAGGGGAAAGGCACACGATCACTTGCCAAACGGGTCACACCGTTTCCACGCGGGTCACACCTGCGAGTAACCAGCACCCGCCGCGCAGATGCTGGTGGATTTCTTCAAGCGTGCCACTTGTTCTAAAGGCTCAGGTGGAGTGGTGGAGTGGCATGTTGAGTCGCTGTTTGGTGGCACCCATGAAGTTGGATGATGTTTGACACTTTTGGTATTGCAAAAAGATGTGGCAAGAGCAGAAGACGATCTGAGGCCGACACGGATGGCTCTGGCTCTGTGTCCAAAGACGAGTGCCCCTGCATGCTTGTGAAATCTGTCGAATACCCATGCATTTTCGCTCTTGTGTGGAATGAACGAACATATCATTGTTGATGCATTTGCTTTTGGATTTTCTCAGGATGGTGGGTTGAGTTCTTGCTTCCCAGGTTCAACAACATGCTACTGTGCACCGATATAATGAAGCCAGTCATGGAGCAGTCTGCATTGGATGCACAGGAGTGCTGCCTCAACTCTGACGATTGTTGAATGAAGGTCATTCTTTGCATTGATGCGTCATTCCAAGTAGGATCTAAGTGCAAGGAACATCCACGCGCATTGATGTGTATTCCTTGAATAGCTGTAACAGTCAGTAAACAGATTTTACCTTTGGGGCCCTCCCAAAATTTGCACCAAGTTTTGCACCTTGTGGTTGGTACTGTAGCCATGCCTTCTCGCTCACTGCTGCTTCAACGGTTTGTCAATTGGCAAGTTTCACTTTAGGGGTTTAGTTTTGGGTCATAGGCCATGTGAGACTTCCATGTCTGGAACTTCGGGCGGGTTAGGTTGTGTTGATAGATGCTGCCGTAGCTTTCAAGCATTCTACTTTGACTGTTGTTTGTTATTGACCATGCGGACCGTGTCTTTAGGGTTTGGATTGACTGCCCCTCTTTGCTGACACTTGACAAACTCTGCCGTTCCCAGAAAATATATCAAGCGCAGTAAAATCAGAGTCTTGCTTGCATTCTGCGCTGCTCCCCAAACAAGTTTTTAACGGTAAAGCCTGAGAATCCTGTTAGCTTTGCTGTTCCCAAAGAATATTTCTAACTCAGTAAGCCAAGGCTGAATCTTGCCAGATTAATTGTTTCCTTTTGCTTTTGTGTTTTTATATTTTCCACCGTACGTTTTTGGTGCTCTAGGTCGTGCTCACTGTTACGGCCAATAGGCAAGACACAACGTATTCCCATTCATACTGCCACAAAACGTGGTGCCAAAGCAGGACTTTGGCGAGCTTTTTGACTGGCTAGATAGTGACAAGGCGCGTGCATTTTTTGTGAACTGCTGTTAGGACTGTGAGTTTTGGTTAGTGTTAACAGTGGGGACGCACAGCGTCAATTCTTGTGGCAGGATGGATGCGTGAACATCGACGAGTTTCTTCGAGGCTTTCGATGGCTGGTGGCGCCTTCGAATGCAGGACGTCCTGCCACATGTGTTCCTACAAATGACCAATCTCGGTTTTGGTTTGCCTCTTTTTTCCGAGGCAACGATCGATCCCAAAGGTCTTTTGAAGCTCGAGGAGGCCCACCGGAGCGTGGCTTTTGGCCGACCGGTCCTGGTTTCAGAGCATTTTTTGCATGTAAACAAAGGCATTGTGAATCTCTGAAGTCAGATCATCTATTCTTGCCAAAAAGCTGTCAACTCTGCGTTGTGAAGGAACTGGCTGGTGACTTTCATCGCCTCACCAGGCCGGGCGGTTTATGGCGAACGGTGTTGGGTGTGGCGGTCAACGGTCCAATGGCTCTGGTCATTTCAGCCGCTCGAGTTGATCAATTTGAATGAGTTTGGTACTCTTGGCAAGCCACAGTTTGGACTGCTGCTTCCATTTTCTGTCAGGCTTTCTAGCAACAGTGCCTTTGGAATAGTTTCTTTGAGGCGTATGGTGGACCACGTGAACCACTGCTTTGACCAATTGTTGGAATCTGTGAGCGTGCCTTGCCTGCGGTCATTCGGCCACACACATCCTTTGCACTGCAAGTTGCACACCATTCTGGAAGGGTCATCAGTTCAGACTGGACCAATATGTTAGTGTCACAGTTTCAAGGGGGTGGAACTTTGGCCAGAATGCAGTAGGTTTGTGACAGTTGGTCCTTTTGCGGATCTAAACAACTACTGTTCGAAAGCAGGTCAGGGTTGTTTTCATTAGAGGAACTCCCAATGAGGTGCCCTTGCGGAAGATCTCTGCCGTCCGCATCTGAAACCGCCAGCGAGTTTCACCAATTGCGGTCAAGAAGAAATTAGACTCGGATACACAGCGCTCGCTTGGCTTCGCTAAGATCACGGAGCAGATCCAACGGTTGGATCGGCTGATCACCGCGTTGCTCCGGTGTCCCGAAGAGGCGCCGAACCCGGCGGCGGAAGGGCGGCGCTCAGCCGGGGGTGGGTGGAAGAGATCCATTTCTTGCCCGAGCAATTCCGTGTTCCGGTCAGAAAAGGAGAAAGACGCATGAAGGTCTTTGGGCTCCGTTTCAAGGACACCTGGTCTTTGGAGCCTGAAATTAAGTGTTGGACCTTCCTTTGGTCTGATGAGAATAGAAAGAACACCGGGTTCTCCATGGACAAATGCACATCCAAAGTCAGACTGAAACTTTTTACCCGGATTTGGTGGCAAAACCGAGCCACGCGTTGCCAGTTGGAGGGGAAGATTGAATGCTGGCACCCAAGAGACGACTTACGAGAGAACAAGCGATACCAAATGGCAGTTCTTTAACAAAGGTCAAGTTCAAGGCTTATTCTTGAGTCTGTCTTAAAGTTTCTTGACCCACATCATCATATGTCATCACTTGCAGCTTTTTGTGTGTAAAATCGTGCAGACCAGTGTCAAGGTGCAAGCCTTGATCAAGTCGAAGCGCGTTTGGCCAAGAAACTGGAGAGCGGCGAGACGGCGAGACGAAGCGTGACGAAGCGTGACGAGTCGTATTTTCTGACGAAGCGAACCGTTCTTTCTGTTGTTGGTCCAAAGTTGGAAGGACCAAACATCCATAAAGAACAGTTCTTTCACCTTCTTTTGCTTTTATATATCAACATGAAGTCTAGCATATTCCAGCAGAGCTGCAAAAGATGCAGGAGATGTTGGAGCAAGCTGTGAAGAAGCTGGACAAGCTTCAGGAGAGGAATCAACCCCTTTGCTTGAACCGGCCCGAAATTCGGATTTTGGTGTCAAAGATGCTTCGTTCCTTTGTCTTGAGTACAGTACATATGGCTTCTTATACCAAGATTTAGAGACATGCGCTAATACCCTGAAAATATTCCGGATCAGAATCCGAGAGACTCGTGAGAGGGCTTTGGTGGAGTCAAAAACATGCAAAGTCAAGCCCCAAGAGCTCCATTGAAGGTCACCATCTTTTTATTTTGCGTTGAGCGCTCATTTGGGGTGAACAGCCGCGGGTCGTTGCCAGGCTCAGGGCGTGGTGAAGCTGGACCGCAAACTCGAATCGGTGCCTGACAAAAGATGCGAAAACAGTGCTTTGGGGCCCTTGGGGTCTTTCAAACTTTAAACGAACATGCTTCTTGGCGTCGTGCCTTTCAACTGCCGATACTCATCTAGCCCTTTCTGCTGGGATTTAGGGGAATTATGATGTTGCTTCGTGTAGTCATGTCTTTCGGACGGGATGTGGAGTTTCTGGGCCAGGATAATGATGTTCGCTTGATTTAGTTTGGATGACAATTCCAAGACGTCGTCAGATGCACACGCACATTGGAAGATTGGGGGGGGTTCAGGTGGGGGTTGTGGGCGGGATATATTGTAAGGAAGTTCGTTTGGCGATCCTACACTCATGCGTTGGAAGATGGACACGGTACGACTGCAAATCCGGTCAATAGTGTGCAATCGTGTTAGTGTGCAACCAAAAAGGCCTCCAAGAGTATACTCGAAAACGCTACGAGCTATCACACAACCGCCAAAATTAGCTTCTCTCGGTAACCCAGACAGTTTTATATAGTAACCATGCCGAAACACATGCGACAAGTAAAGATAGCTGAACACCTGAGCTTGTTCTTAAATATTTGTTGCTCCTGTAGAGAAACCGTTTTGACTCTTGCCGGACAATGCTCATTTGGATGTTACCCAGTGCACAGACAGTGAAATTGCAATTGAACTGCCAAGAGGTGTCTTCCATGCAAGATCTCGACACCAACAGCCCGTGTGGTTGCTCAAAGGATTGCGAGTGGCTGCCGTTTGCCTGAGTTTTAAGACATGTAGTTTTATTTGGAGGCAGCATAATGTATGTATGGCATAGTATGGCTGCAATATTGATGGGTTCGAAAGATGCTCGTTTGTGCTTGACTCAACCCGCTATCTAGTTTGATTACTCGAGATTGACCCATCAGCGCTACCCAGCAGCTTTTACTTTGCAAACAACAAACTAAATCATTAGGGAAATTGCCATGCCGCCTAGACTGCCATCAGTTGAATGTCATGATATCTCTGTAAAACCAATGACGAGCCACAACATGGAATCGAAGGGGTCGAGAAAGAGATCATTGGGTGACTTCTTCTCCAGTCAGACCTTCGATCCTGCTCTGAACTCAAGAAACTCCTACTTCTAGGTGACAGCCATGAGAGCAGCCTACTGTGTTACAGGCAGACGATCAGCACTTTAGCCGGCCATCTCTAATTTGGATTCGCATGAGCTATCAAAGCCGTTCCCTGAGGTGGAGTTGGAGAAAGATGGCCTCTGGAATCTCTGGAACAATGGATCTCCCTGTCCAGGATTGTGGAAAAGGGTTCAGACCGAGTTGCTTCAAAAAAAGGCGTGACAGATACAGCGATGCAAATAATGGCAGAAAGGCTTTTATATAAAGTTAATACAGTCTCCGTCCTGGGCGGGACAAGGTGCTGCATTTGTCCGTCATCCAAAGGGAACTCTTGAAAATTGTCCCTGGTCGCATCAACAACCACAGCCCTGGAACCGGTGTGCAAAGCAGACTGCAATGAACTGATCAAGTCCGGACTAAGAAAGGGATCCCTGTGCTCCAAAGGACTTGATCTTCTTTGAGCCAGCTTCTTCACTTGATGACATGGAGAACGATGACCAGGAGGAGCTCCCAAAAGGCGAGGCTCCTACGACGAGAGCGGAGAATGAGAGCAAGAAAGCGTTTTCTCAATAAATCGATGCAAACATGAGTAAAGAACACAAAAAGGTGGTGTAAAGAAAACAGTTTACCTGCATCCAAGTTCCTAGTAGCTTCCTGGCCTTGCTACTTAAGCAGATGCTAGCTTCTTTTTCCACCCTACCCTTTCAATCTCACTCAACTCCATCCCCTGAAGATGAAAAAAGGAAGAAGGACATGAGAGATGAGAGAAGTTGGCTGGGTGTTGTTGGTCAAGGGCCTGAATTAAGGGACTTTCGGCAGCACACCCCAGCGCACGGTTGGAGGCATCGGCAGAGCTTCAGGTGGGCGTTTGACGCAAAGAATCTCTTTGTTTTGATCCCAAGCGATTGAGGTTATAGGATTCAGGCAAAAGTATATATAGGAATAGCTTAGCTTGTATTCTGATTCTTTCATACACTTTTAAACCCTTTGCGTCTTGAATTCAACGTAGGCACGGTTCGGCTTCATTGTGGAACCATGTATAGATGGGCTTCTTCTCACTTGTGCGAAAGCTTTGAGGTGCGGTTTGGTGGGGAGTATGACGCTGGGTGATCAGCGGCCATGCTCCGGGCTTTCACCAAACACCGGACACCAGCTGCCGACTACACAGGCAGCACAGAGGCATTCAGAGATTGCCGAAGTGAAGTTAACACACCACATAGCGAGTCTCCGGGCGATTGATGCTTGAGAGCACGCGCTGTGTTTTTCCCTTGAAGATGCTCAGAGGGAAGCAATTCTCTGTTGAACACCGACAGAGCATAGAGGCCAAAGTTCAGCCTGGATTCTCCCGGAGAAAGTGCATTTCACAGGGCTTTTTGCTTCTGGATTGAGCGGAACAGGATTTGTTTTTCGGAGTGGAGGCACATTTGTACTGGGGGGTCTTGAAAGTGTTGATCAAGTGTTGATCAAGTGTTGGAAGGGACTCTTCCGGCAGTTCTAGCACCGCTCGTTAGCTCGTTTGAAAGGAGGCACAGCAGTGAGTTGCTTAGCACTGCTTGTCATGCCAGATCACGGGTGGTGCTGCAAGCCGCTGGTGAGCGAAACTTCCATGTTTTCTACCAGCTCTTGGTTGGATGCAACGAGGACCGATCAGATGTAGTAAGCGTTTTTGTTCTTTCCTGGTTTTGAGTAATCACATTCTGCTATTGGCTTTTCCCAAAGAGGCTACCCAGAGTAGTCTTTGCTGTGTGAAAGGAGCAAAGGGCGCGGCACAAGCTGCGGCAACGCCCAGAGGACTATGCAGCAGACCTGGTTCGAAGCGAATGAACTTGATTCAAGATTGCAAGTGACTCTGATTTCGCACATAATATAGATCAATTTTTTTTGCAAAATGATTCCTTAAGCGAATCCAAACGTTTTGGAATATGTCGACGCATTCTACGTCTCAGAGATTCAGACTGAGGCTCAGGCTTAGTCCATTTTTCTCCCAGGGTTGCAGGGGCTCAAAACACGCCAAAACCCACATTCTGCTTTTTCTCGTGTCTACACTACACAGTATGCCGGAGACGTGTGTTGAGGCCATGCTGCGGGGTGGAGGCATCCTCCAGGCACTCCATGAGAAGATATGAGAAGTTTTTCACGCGTGAATTGGCATCGGAATGTTCTTCTGAAGTTTCAGAAAAGTATAGAGAAGACAGGGAACGTGTCTAAAGCCGCTAGGATGAACGAAAAAGGTGTGTGTTGCACCCCATTCACGACTTTGTGGGACATTTTGGCCACACTCTGACTGACGCAGTGTGCGATTCTGCGATGTCCAAAGTCCAAGTTTCTTAGTAGTTTGTAGTTGGTTTTCTGCTCTTGCGCCAGAGCCACCAAAACATTCACAGGTAGATGGCGTTGACGATTCGTGTGATTGGAATAGGCTCGGAGCACAGTCAGTCAGGGTGCTGCAATCGAGTTGCTTTGACAAGTCGTTCCTTGTTACCGATCGTCGGTCGTGGCCCTCAACAATCCGTTTATCCAAGTTCGGCTGGACCGTACAATCTATATTATGTATATTACATATTAGAAATTATATGCTTTCTTGGATGATGGTGAAGCCTCTCCTGAGCCAAGTACTGCAACAAGAGCCTCTTCCTAGCACCCCAAAACGCTATGTGTTTTGTTTGAGACTCTCCAGTCTTTTATGCATCCGTGGGTTGTCCATTGTTTGGTGTTTGGTTGGAAGCGCGCTTTTTCAGCGAAGCCAGTTCCATTCGTTTGCTTGACCGCAAAGAGAGAAAAACAAGAAGGTAAGGGCTCCTTTAATAAGGCCTCCTTTAAAAGAGCCTCATGAAAGGGGCCCTTACGTTCATTTCTTGATATTAAATATGTATTTCTTCCTTGACAGTACTTTGGCTAGGGAACTGCTTTTGGGTTTGGAGAGGCAAGCTAGTTTGCAAGATGGATCGGTCACCACTGAAGGACGTGGTTTTGCCGCATTGTTCTCGGCTTCTTCAGGCTCTTGCTTGCATTTGAAGCTGTAGGGGCAGATGAGGCGCGTAACTTTGCTCACGTTAAAACAAAAGACCGACGATACCTTTTCCTGTTGAGATTATAGATAACGGTGTGTAGTATTTTTTCACTTCTGTTCTTGAGATGTTATCGCATGGTCATCATCATCATCATCATCATCATCATCATCATCATCATCATCATCATCAAAGACCTACAGCACATCTTCTTTGACCCCAAAGGAGATGTTGGCCGGAGTCATGGACCTTGTGCATCTTGGCGACAACCAAAGGCTGTGGTCACCGGTTAGGCTGGACGACCGAAGGGCGACCCTGCGAAGCACCGAAGCTCGAAGCACTGGTCGTTCACTTGATTGACGACCGACTACCCCTTGCTAAAGGATCTACCAGAAAGGAGAACATGCACTGGAAGAAGACTGAATTCTTTGTTACATGCTGTTAAGGTTTGTTTTTGGGTGCTTCAGCCCAATCCTTCTCCTGACAGAGTCCAAGCTGACGGTGTCCATCCGGCCGAGGTCTGCCACTTTGCTTTGTGGAGAGGCACTTGTTCACAACCGTGAGCCGACATGAAACACGAAGACACCACCAAGAGTGGGAGCTCTAGAAGCCTGTAATGTGGACTCTTGATAAATCACTCCCCAATATGAAGAGGAGTTTTTATCAATCAATATGAATGGTTGGTTGGGTAGGGACATATTGAGATGTGAAACATATAGCGGGGATCCTCAATCTTGGATGCCATTTTGGCTCAAGATTGGGGGCTCCCCTCCTTTTTCTCGCCATGCCCGCCATCCTCTCCACTGAGCTGGCTACGTGGAGGGTGGTGGCACGGCGGTGGAGGTGGGGCAACAGGGGCAGGGAGGCCAGTGTGCTACCCCGTGAGGAGCGACTGGCCTCCCTACGTGGCGGACCATGGCGGAGAGCAAGAGGCGGCGGTCCAGATCGAAGGGTTTGGAACCCAAGAGTCGGCCCCGCACTTCCATGAGGTCGACCCGGTCATCAGCCTCGACGCCTTGGGAACCGCCCTCAACATGTCCGCAGACGACGTGCGCGCCTACATCATCGAGCAGCTCCGGGGCGCTGAAGCCGGACCAACCCATGGAGGGTATGCTACAGGAGCTGCTGGTCGACCGGCCGTTCAACCTCCTCAATCACCTCGTGGACCTGGGAGTCCAGACCTGTGAGGATGTTCATAGCCTGTGGCCCACAGGCGGTGCGCTCCTCGAGGAGTTGGAAGGGCGCCATGGCTCGGTGTCCGCGGAGGAAGGCTTCACCATCGTCTCCTTCTGGACTTTGGCGTCTCAGAGGGCTCAAGCCTCACAGCGCAAGCACTTGAGGGAGATCTGCATCCACCGCCAGTCGGCAGTCTCCACCTCGGCCCCAGCCAAGCCAGAGGGACCTTCACAGCAGGCCGCTCGGCCGGTGCGCCGCCTTTTGGAGACAGGAGAGGTCAGGGAACCTCCGCTCCTCATGAGCCTTGCAGCCCGAGACCCCTATGTGAAAGAACAAGCAGCCAAGATGGCCAAAACCCAGACCTTGTTCGAGCTCTTGATCCAGGACTTCCTCGACCTGGAGGAATTGGGGGTCTCCCGAACCCAGCTGCAAGACGCCACCAGGATGCAACTCCTCAAGGAGTCTGTTATGCCGGCCGCCGACAGGCTTTCAGTCCATCGCTTGGGAGCTCTGGCGAGCACCTTGCGAAGGTGGCGGGAGTTTGCCCTCAGGTTGGGGTTCGATGTACGGCAACCTACCCCTCTGCAGTTGAGCACCTAAGGAGGTGGCACGCGGGGGCCCCACAGCAGCATCCGCTATGTTCCACGCCCTCAACTGGTTCCGGTCACAGTTCGGGGTTCAATTCCCGCTGGACCACTGGATGGTGCGCGGTTACAAGCTGCTTCCTGTGGGACATACCTCGCAACAGAAGCTCGAACTGCAACCGTGGGAGTTCATCAACATGATCCTGAAGCTTCGCCAAAGTTCCGGCACCAACACCTTGGTGCTGGCCTTTATGTTGTGGGCGGCTGTATCCTGCATCAGATTCGAGCATATTCAACGGTCTAAGTTTGACCACCTGGCGGCCAATGCCCTGTTCTTCACATGCTCGCAGGGCAAGGCGCGGCGCCAGGGGGCCCGGCCTGCCTTCCAATGGGCTATGCCTGACATCCCATGGCCAGGGTTCAGCTTGGTCAAGGTCATCCAGGACTTTGTCACCATGGAGCTTCTGCCAGGGTGCAAGTTCTTGTGGCCGGCATTGCAGCTGGACCCGATGGACCTGTGGCAGGTCACGGAACACACCCCTTGGGCTTTGGACCGCAAGCTGTCCAGAGGACGCTTTTTGGAGCTTCTGCGGGGCACCCTCCTTGACCTGGGCACGGCTCCTGACCAAGCCCAGACTGCGGGATTCAACCGTTTGAGACGGTTCCTCCCCACTCTTGGGAATGTGGTCCGGTTGACCCCGGCGGACCAACAGGCCATTGGCAATTGGGTTGAGATCCCCACTGGCGGGGGACCCATCCCCAACCAGAAGTCACGGGCCACCTGGACTATGGGGATTCATTATAGCGGCCAACGAGCTCTTCATTCGGCCCAGGTGAAGAAGGCACTGCTGAAGCGCTTCATGAGCCTTTACCATGCCAAGAAGGCGGAATTGGCGCTGACGGATGAGGGACTGCACCCCCGGGACAGTTGGACCTGGGCAGAATTCGCTGCCCAGAATGAGCGCCTTGGTGACCTTGGGACTGAGCTCCCGGCACCACCGCCGGTCGAGATCGAGCAGGACATGCCTACAGATGATGCCACTGCCAGGGGCTCAGCGGATGTCCAGGACCCCACCTTGCCGGTGGACAATGGGCCAGAACCGGAACCGGAAGCAGCTGACAACGAATCCGTCACGGATACCTCCTCGAACTCCTCAGAATCAGCCTCCGATGTGTCCAATGAAGCCAGCGATTTGGAGGGCGCCCTCTCTGACGATGACGTGGCCGTGTCCACGCATTGGATGGTGCAAGGGGCCAAGGTTCACATCATCCGAGGGGAATCGGATGGACGTCTGCTGCCGTGGTGCCGCGACGCCCCTTTCTCCCAAGATCCGCGATCGACAGGAGAGGGCTTCTCCTTAGTATCGCGCCAGCGTTTTTGCCAACGATGCTTGGCTCGCATGCCCAGGGGATTGTACCGGGCACTGGCGCGGCATTGCGGGTGGCTGAACTAGCACATCCCCGCGTGTGGTATGAAAAAGCTGCCTCGGTCCGCCCGGCTGGAGCCCATCGTTCGATCACACAACCTCGTCGACGTGTGTGTGGGGTAGGGTCGGGTTTTGGGGTCAGTGACGAGTTGATGGGT